ATTCGCCGCGCGGGCCCAAGAGCCCCCGTCTCGCATTTCCATTCGCCCGTTCACCTCGAGGCGACCGACGGACCGCGCCGCGCGACCAATGACGAGGCGCGGTTGCGCGCCATCGATCCCCGGAGCGACACTCGACGGAACGGAGGTGTAAGCCAAGATGACGGCGAATTCGCAGGCTTGTTTAAGGATATCGTGAGAATCTTCACGGTGACAACATTATTCCAGGAAGATTCGTATGTATCCATTCCGCGAATTGTTCTTGCGACAAGGTACCAGGGCGCTGTTCCGGCGTCGTCCGCGAACGATTCGTCGCGCGCGCAACCTCGATTTCGTCGCGTAGTCGCGGGATCGTAACGAGCGAGGAGTATACCTCGACGGTGCGGCGAGTACGTCAGCTCGCGGTTAGCCAGTTCGACCGCGTCGAGACGTCCTGATCGCGATGACGTCGGCGCTTCCGCGGAATTTCACGGCTATGACGACGCTGGAGTAGCCAGCGCGCGGTATCGCCGATGCGAACGAGACGCGACGTCGCGAAGGTTATTAATTGACAAATCGTTTCAGCTCGGCTCTGACAGGCGCGAGTGGCCTGCGTTACGCACCCGACTTCTCAACAACACCCCGAGGAGGAGCTGAGCATGGCTTCGGCGATACTGCAGGTAAGCCGTTTCAGCGGTTTAACACGCCGACGGAGTCACCGTATCGTTCTGTCATCTTGCAGAAGGCCATAGATCTCGTGACAAAGGCCACGGAGGAGGATCGTAATAAGAACTATGAGGAGGCCCTCAGGTTGTACGAGCACGGCGTCGAATACTTCCTGCATTCAATCAAATGTACGTCCAGTGACCAATGGTTAATATACGATAGCAGCCGTATTCCGACTTTCGCCGCCAGTAAATCTCTAGTGTACTCGGAGCGTGGTGTCTTTTTTTCCAAAAGATACAGGCCCGTATTCTCAACGTTCTTTTATCGATAAAAGTGCCTCTAAAAGCAACTGATAAATCTTCCGATTGGCTTCGAGCCACTTTTAGACGAGTTCTTATCGATAAAACAGGATTCAGAATACTATCTGTATCTGTATCTTACTCTGGACAAAATAATTCAGTCTTGTATCTAATCTAATCTAAATCGAAGGAACTTGAGAAATTTAACTGTACCTCTTCACTGAATCCATTGAACATTTATTTTGTATTTGTAATAAATCTTTCGATTGGCTACCAGCCACTTTTAGAGGAGCTTTTGTCGATAAAAGAGGATTCAGAGTACAGACCGTTGTTACAGCTACTATCCGCATCTGTATCTTCCTCTAGGAAAATAATTCAGTGCATCTTGTATCTATCTAAATGAAAGGAACTTGAGAAATTTAACTTGTACCTGTATCCTTGATGGAAAAAGTTCATTCAGTTGATGTAAACTATAGATTTTTGGCGATCTGAATAGTAGAACACAGCTGGTATTAAAGAAATGTTGTAGAATGGCGAGCTCAACGAAAATAATTTGTTCTGCTGAAACAAATTATATTTTCCGTAAATGCAATTGTATCTGAAATGCAGGGTCGGGAAGTAATTCGTTACTTGTGACGAAGATACAGTTACTTTTTGTCGGTAACTTAACTTCATTACTATCTCTTTATCTGTAACTGTAATGTAACTCAATTACTTTATACTACATTTAAACTTTAAATTGCATTTGCGCACAAACGCCTTTATCGACGCTTTACAATTCCAATGCAGATTTGATATTTTTATAATATAAAGTGGATGCTCGTTGAATGTGTAGACAGTGATCAAATTTTAAAGGCCAAAAATAATGAGTTACTATAATGGACGTTAGAAAAATCATTTGTATCCAAACGTGGTCAATTTTTTGTGGTGTTGGCATTTATATATGCATATGTTTTATTTACTAGTTTTTCACTTATTCCAACGACATTTAATAATAATTTAAATGGCCAGTCATGTACCTTTTAAATTTTATGTAACTTAATTGTTGAATTAGGGTGTTGAAAAAGACTAAGTAAAGTCGAAACGTTCACCTATGTAAATTATTAAGAATATAATTGATTTTTCTAACATCCATTATGGTAGCTCGTTATTTTTGGCCTTTAAAATTTGATAATTGATATTTTTATTTTTATTGCAAGAAAGTAAGTGCAGAGTAACGGCTCGCCACTTTTTGAGCAACTGTAATGCGTTACTTTTCAGAATTGGTAACTCGTAACTGCAATTCGATACTTTTATCAAGTAACTTTACCACCCTGCTAAAGTGTAATTGGTAATGGCTTTCAGACGAGACACACGGAGACAAGGTGAAGGAGAGCATACGAGCGAAATGTATGCAGTATTTAGAGAGAGCGGAAAAATTGAAGGAATACTTGAAGAAGAACAAGAAAAAGCCGGTCAAGGCTAGCGCGGATAACTCCAAGAGCGAGGACAAGAAGAGCGACAGTGGTGACAGCGACACCGACAGTGACCCCGAGAAGAAGAAGCTGCAGAGCAAACTAGAAGGCGTTATAATCAATGAGAACACAAATGTTAAGTGGAGCGACGTGATTGGTCTCGATGGGGCTATCGAGGCTTTGAAAGAGGCTGTTATTCTACCTATGCACTTTCCTCATCTTTTTACCGGGAGACGCGTACCTTGGAAAGGTATTCTATTATTCGGGGTAGGTAATTTGGAATACGGCGAATTTGACCGCGTACACTTTGGCCCTTGAAGCGTATTCTCATATTTTTGACTCGCTGCCTTTAGCCGCCGGGAACTGGCAAGTCGTATCTGGCGAAAGCAGTGGCGACGGAGGCTAATCAAGCCACCTTCTTCGCCGCGTCATCGTCGGATCTAGTGAGCAAGTGGCTGGGAGAGTCGGAGAAGCTTGTAAAAAATCTGTTCGAATTAGCGCGACAAAAGGAACGTAGCATTATATTTATCGACGAAGTAGACTCGCTGTGTTCGTCGCGTTCCGACAACGAGTCGGAATCCGCGAGGAGGATAAAAACGGAATTTCTAGTGCAGATGCAAGGTAACGTTTTCCAAGTGAAGTATCCATTTCTCGCCAGAGCGAGCGCGTATCCAGTTCAACTAATGCTACTTGTCTACGTGTGCGCAACGCAGGTGTAGGGAATCATAATGAGAACATACTCGTGCTGGGGGCCACCAACATACCTTGGGTCTTGGATTCTGCGATCAGGCGAAGATTCGAAAAGAGAATTTACATTCCGTTGCCCGAGAAGCAGGCGCGCGCCGCCATGTTCAAGCTGCACCTGGGTAATACATCGCACTGTCTGAACGAGGAGGACTTTAAGAAATTGGCGGGCTCTACCGACGGTTACTCGGGGGCCGATATTAGCATTATTGTACGGGACGCCCTGATGCAGCCGATCCGACAAGTGCAAACGGCTACACACTTTAAGCGCGTCAGAGGACCATCGCCGAAGGACCCTTCCGTTATCGTCGACGATCTACTTACTCCGTGCTCCCCCGGCGATCCGGCTGCCATAGAAATGAATTGGATGGAGATTGAGGGTGACAAATTGTTCGAGCCACCAGTTACCATGGTAAGGTTTACAGCAGGGTCGGGAAAGTTACTTTATAAAAGTATTTAGTTACAGTTACAGTCAGGTTTGGGAAGTAACTCGTTACTTGTAACGAAGTTACAGTTACAAGTACTTCTTTTTGGTAACTCTAACTTAACTTCGTTACTTTCTCTACATCTGTAACTGTAACTTAACTCAGTTACATTTTTTCGATAACTAGTAACTAATTTAATAGTTACTTTATATATATTTTCAACCTCCATAGATCGCATTAAGCCTTGCATTTGCGCATAAACGCCTTTATCCCCTGCCGGAAATAATTCTACAAAATTCTACAAAAAAATTAAATATAACTGCCAGAATCTAAGAAATTCTACGTAAATTTAAAAAGTGTTATAAAAATCAACGTAAAAATGCTAGAATTGAAACACAAATTTGTTAATTTTTGTAATATTCTACAAGTAAGCAGATGTCTTAATTCTTTAAGATTTCGTTGTTTCTCAAATTTTTAAAACTAGTAAAGTTTTGTACTCATTTTTACAAAATTGTACATTTTCATGAAATACTACTTGCAATTATTTCTTGATTTGAGAACATTGTAATTTGTGATACTATTTTATAGATATATTTACAAAGAAATAAATGTTTCAACGAAGATATAAAAATTTCTACAAATTTCTATTTCAAGTCAATTTTTTGTAGTTATTTATATAAATTTGTTCCGCTAAGGTCGCCGCTTTATAATTCACATGCAGATTCGATATTTTTATTTCTATTGCAAGGGAGTAACTGCAAAGTAACGATTCGTTACTTTTCGAGTAACTGTAACTGTAATGCGTTACTTTTCAGAATTGGTAACTTGTAACTGTAACTAGTTACATTGTTAGCGCAAAAACTGTAACTAGTTACTTTTATAAAGTAACTTTCCCAACCCTGGTTACAGTTTCTTCGCTAAAAATGTTACTCGTTACAGTTACAAGTTACCAGTTCTGACAAGTAACGCGTTACAGTTACAGTTACTTAAAAAGTAACGAATCGTTACTCTGCAGTTACTTTCTTGCAATGAAAATAAATATCGAATCCGCATTTGAATTGTAAAACGTCGGTAAAGGCGTTTATGCGTAAACGCAAGGCCTGATGCAATCTGTGGAAGTTTAAAAAATATATAAAGTAACTATTAATGTAACTATTAAATTAGTTGCTAGTTATCGGAAAAATGTAACTGAGTTAAGTTACCGTTACAGATGAAGAGAAAGTAACGAAGTTAGAGTTACCAAAAAAAGTAACTGTAACTGTAACTTCGTAACAAGTAACGAGTTACTTCCCAACCCTGGTTTACAGTTGCTCCTACCATTTCCTTTTTTATGTTTACATGCAAACAAGACGGGTATTTTAATATCTGTGATATTGTTACTTTGTAGAAAGACATGTTGAAATCGCTAGCAACGACCCGTCCTACAGTGAATGAAGAAGATTTGGCAAAGCTAGAGAAATTTAAGGAAGACTTCGGTCAAGAGGGTTGAGAGACTCTCTCTCTCTCTCTCTCTTTCTCGTAATTAAGTAAACGGATTTATAATTTAACGAATACTTTTAGTTATACATGCTTGCCTTATTCCTCTTACGACAACATGCTTGATAATATCTGTATAAATACGTTATACTCGGAAACGAGCCTTTGTCCCTCGTCTTCTCGTTTAGATCTCTTTTGTCCCCCCCCCCCTTTTTTTAAAGCGCAACAGCAGATGCAGTCCGGTATCGTGAGCTTATCGCTTGTTTACTTAGTGAAAATGATACATAACTTATGAAATAAACCATATATTTTGAGATAAAAAAATTCTTAGACCTTTATCAAGCAATCGCGACAAGAGGTAGATTATTTTCTATCGTAAAGTGCAAAGTAGGAAAAGTGTCGGTGATACATTTGCGAGGTATATGGCAAACTCTGTGTTTAATCCGTCACTATATATAATCACTATGATAAGTACCTAACAAAATTAATTGTAAATCATAGATTTTATATAGTTACTTCCTAATCACCTTCGATCATAGTTTTAAACACTCTTGCGTATGGTATTATCCGAGCGTCTCGATTCGGACTCGACAACGCGGGATCGCCTCGCGGAGTCGGAAGATCGAGTCGCGGCGGCTGGCGAATTGAGAAATTCGCTAGTCGAAATCGACCAAGTACAAGGGTCATGTAACATACTACGTATTACTGATATTCAGAGTACTGTTTTCATGTAAATTGTTTTTATTGTTAACTAAATAAATAACAAGCTGTATACTGATACACGCACCAGTATTGAAAAACAGTGAGAAATTGCGACAGCATTTAGGGGGGGCAGTGTCTTAGAAACTCCGAATCCATGTAAACGACCGTGATGGTGATGTCGTCGCGGAATATCCGCACCACCTCGCTCGGCAGGGTCAGCAGTTGCGACAGCTTCGCGTGATCTATCCCGTACTCCGTGCCGCCCAGGGCGTTCCTCAGCAGGTGCGTCGCCGCGTTGCCATCGAGGGGCTTCTTCTTCAGGCCCTCCTTGCGCTGCAGCAGCATCTCGTTTATATCGGACAACTTCATATTTTTACGGGGTAATCGCAGCGGGTTGAGCGTGACCTTGCCGCTCATGTGCTCCCCGACCAAGCGCACGGCCTGCAACGGCGAGATCAGGTCCCACAGTCCGTCACTGGCCAATATGAGGAACTTGTCCCTCGGCGTCAGCCTGTGGTACCTCACCTCCGGATTGGCCGTTAGATAGGGCGGCGTATGGTAGTTGGGTGGAATCGCCGTCTCGCCGAGAAATGGCACCACGACTCTCTTCATTACGCTTTTGCTCCACTTATAGCGAAAGTCGCCCAACGAGCGAAGCGGCGCCAATTGCCCGAGCAACCTTTCCATCTTGATCACAGTCGACCTCTCGTTCGGCGGATGCTCTGACAAGATTCTCTCCGCTTCCGCACGATTGTCCGCGTTGTGCTCTACCGTCATCATTTTCGCCGACCATCCGTCGTTCTCTAAACAACATCGATTTTAATTGATATCGGGGCAAAGTGAGTGTGACGAGGGAACAACGAACCTGAGAGTATTCCCAAGACGACCTTGCAGTCGCCGACACCGGCGACGTGGAGATGGGGGCCGTCTACGTGCGCCACAGCGGCCACCGTGCCTGACATCGCGACGGCGAGGGTCCTCGCGGCATCTTTCTTATTCAGTTGCAACAGAGCTTCGTTTGACAGGTCGTTGTCCAGTCGGAGAAACGCGCTTTCCAACGCCTTTTCCATTTGAAATTCCTTCTTGATATCCGACTGCACCAAGTCTCGCAGGAAGCTCAAGAAGCTCGTTTGATAGAGCTCCCTGATCTCGGTTACAAATTCTACTTTATCGTTGAATGTCTCGAGCAGATTCAATTTCTTGTCAGTGCCGAGGGAATTCAAGTATTGCTCCAGCAATTTCGGCGGCAGCAGGCAGGCGGATATATAATGAAACAGTCTCTTTGATACCACTTGCGCACAGGCACCACCGCCGTGACCGTCGAAGACTCCCAACAACATACCTACGAGTGGACAAGAAATCGGAATCGATGGTTGCGTTCAGCAGAGAAAGCTACTTTGCAACTATTGTGAAAAATCTCGAATCTGGCGTACGCTCTTAATCTTAACCGAATCTTTAAATTTAAATCTTCTGAACAAAGTTACGATGGTTAAATGTAGTAGAAGATGATGTGGGCAATGTGAGCCGTCACCTGAACTTGGATGAACGAAATTAAAACGATACAAGGTGAACAGTTATACAGGGTGCTCCCGGGTTAAATGGCCAAACTTGAAAGATGTATTGAGGACCTCAAAGCAAGAAAATTTTTCCTCTGGAAATATGCTCGTAAACGTTCCGTTCAAGAGATATTGACGTCTGAAGTGATGAACTTTTAGGAATGAATAATTTCGAAATATGACTATTTCTTTGATTCAGAATTCCTTGTTTGGTAAATATGGCTTCATCTGTCCATAAAATGTTTTGCGAGAATTGTAAATCATAATTTGTTTGATTTAAAAACCAATCGCAAAACATACAGTACGACGGAACTTTGTTTACGAAATCGAAGGTCATTGATAGGCTTTTATTTGCATGGTAAACAAAGCGTCGTATCATCGTACTTACAATTAGTTCGTTGAATGCTTTCGTCGAATAAACTGGTATGAAGTGCCTGTTAATGATCTTCAATCATTAAAACGGAGGATAGCGCAGGCGTGTAACGAAATTACAGACGCACAGTGTCAGTCAGCCACTCATTCTGTCATCGATAGGTGCAATGCATGTCTCCAAGCTGGAGGCCATCATTTTGGACAAAACGTTTAATAATTAAATTTTTATTATTAAAAAGCAATAAAGAGGATAAATCTAAATTATTTCGAAATTATTCATTCCTAACAGTTCATAACTTCATAAGTCAATATCTCGTGAACGGAACGTTTACGAGCATATTTCCAAAGGAAAATTTGTCTTGCTTTGAGGTCCTAAATACATCTTTCAAGTTTGGCCATTTAATCCAGGAGCACCCTGTATATTTTAGTTACATGAGGTACGATTCGAACGTTTCTGTCACGACATGTGACCCTCTTCAGCTGTACATTTATCAATTTTGTAAGCGTTGAAAGTATTTTTATATACAATAGGACGAACAAAGAGTTGCTTAAAATTAACTGCGTATACCGTGGAAACGATCCACGCGTATGAATAACGCAACGAACGCAAATGTATTCCGGTCTATCATGTTATACGGTCAGATATCTAATTTCTCGCCTTCATCTCGTCTGTCATAGTACATGTTAGTGGTCAGACATTTACTTATGAAGAGAATTTGACGGCGGTATCTAGAGACAACGATGTGACACGTATCGAAGTCTGTATTAAGCCAACGGCACACGGTACTATTTTTCCTACTGGATTGCTTACGAGAGCCAATCAGGATTTAGCTTCAAGTCACCTGATCTAAAACTCTGCATCCTGATTGGCTCTCGTAAGCAATCCAGTAGGAAAAATCGTATCGTGTGCCGTTGGCTTTAAGTTCAGGTGACGGCTCACATTGCCCATATCTTCTACTACATTTAACCATCGTAACTTTCTTCAGAAGATTTAAATTTAAATATTTTAGTGGAGCCTTATTTAAATATTAATTAACCGAATCTAACGATATGCTACATTCACAAATTTTACAACAGTCGCAAAGCAGCTTTCTCTGCTGAATGCAGCCAGTGGGTTTGTAGAGAGGTGAAAGTAAGAAACCCTATAAACGTTAATTGAGATCACACCCACGTGATTAATATTGTCCAGATCCAAACCCAGGCTGAGGTAAGTTTTTGCAATAAGTTGAAAATAAGAAATAACGGCTCTCTAGTCTTTATTCCTCCGAATTGGTATTTGCTACACGAGAGCCTTGTGAAATTTATTAAATTGATTAATATTCTCTTTTACTATATTAGCTTTCCCACACAGCACAGAAAGATTGCAGGAAGATTGCAGAAATGTTACATTGCAAGATTGCAATATCGCAGCAACTTGCGCAACATTGCTGCAACGTTTCTGGAGGGTCGCAGCAACGTTGAAATGTCCGCCCTCAGAGAGATTGCAGTGCAATATTTTTGGAATAATTTGTTGTTGTACATAAGCAGAGAATTTACTAATTACATATACATCCGGGCCTTTTTCAATACATAGCAAGCTATTGCAAAGCAACCTAAGGAGATTATGTTGCTTTGCAATAGATGGAGATTGTGAGCAACACCGCACTGATCAAGTATTTAATAATTCGCGCATTATTAGTATCAACAAAGATAACATTATAAAATTCTCGTAATTAGGGACATTTTCTAAATAGAAAATATAGTATTTTCATTATTTTTGAAACATTGCTGCAATATTGCTATCGAAAGTTTGCAATTTATATCCCTGCAATGTCTCTGCAAGATTGCAACGTTTCTGCAATGTAATTGCAACTATCTGTGCTGTATGGGTTCCTCTCGCACTGTACCTTTAGTCAGCAAACATTGAGCCTCGGATCTCGTGTCTTCTATGGGATTATTGGACGCTAATTGATTGGAGTCGTAATACTTCACAGAACCCAAGCCTGAGAATTCTTTGGTGTACTCGTTGGCCTGCAGGACGTTCGTGACCTGCAATCAGACAACAGCGATGGTACGCACGAAGCGGGCAGCAGAAGGGCGATGTAAACGTACCTCCTGCGGCGTGAGCCGCGGCAGTGCCATGTACAGCCGATGGAAGCTTTTGTTGCCGCGAGACTCGCTCGTCCTGGCGTGCACATGTCGGAAACCTTTGACCAAGTCATAGCTGATCTTTTGCAAGACCATCCTACCCCTGGAATCTCGGCAGCCGTTCCCCGTGCTAATATTCCTCCTCGCCCCCGCTTTTCCAGCACATCTTCGACCCCTTGTAGGTTAAAGATACTCGGGGGTAATCGCGGCGGACGAGTTCCCGTTGTCAATTGACGTCGCAACGAGGACTCTGTACCGCTTAATATACCGCGATTTACGTAATACAGAGACGATTCTCTCCCTTCCGGGATTGATTGACGTGCCTAAGGCTCGTGGGGGCAAAACATCGGTTTGGACGTACGCGAGTTGTTGCTCTACGAGCTACGAGTGTTACGACGGATATCGCGATGCGGCGTGCGTAAAAGCCAGCAGCAAACACGTGTAACCCTCAGTGCTGCGAGACGTTACACGAGAATGAACGTAACCATGGTATGTACAGTAACGGTACGGAGCCACGCGACCGCACGCGCGAACTTCGACCCGCGCAGTGATGGGGACGAGCCGGGTTTTTAACATGCGCGGTGAAAACAGTAAAGGTGCATTTTCATGCTGACGCTTGACGCTCACTTTGAGCGTCAAGCTAGTTACTTTGGGGACTTTTTTGAATTGTAGCGTAAAGGTACCATTTCATGCGCAGCATACT